AAATCTACTCAACGGCAGTGAGTTTGGTTTTATTTGTTTTGGTTTTTAATGAGCATACTGTAAATGCTCATTATATAAACATCCTCTCTTCCTGGATACAACGGTTTAGCAGTTTTTAATCCCTTGGAATATTACAGCAGCAATCACTGCTCATTTAGTCAATGTGAAAGGTAACAATAATCACTGATAATACAGTACTCCATATTTTAATGTCACTGGGGAGCTCTGGTGGCACAGTGCCTAAGGCATTTGACTGCTAACCAGAAACGTGGCTGTTCAAACCCACCAGCCATTCCTGGGCGGGAAGACTGGGCAATCTACTTTCGTAGAGATATCCAAGGTGAGGTCCCTATGAGTCGGATTCGACTCAACGGCAGTGAGCTTGATAAACATGAAGTGAAATGAAATAAACTATTCAGGTATCCCAATGATGACAAATGGGTGGAAAGGAAACCAAAAATAAGTATTTCACCAGAGAGTCTCAACAATATCTTTGTTACCTGTTGTTAACGGGCCACCTTGGTTCTGTGCCAGCATATGCCACTCTTTTCAGATTAACAAAAGCAGAGATATTTCTGGGTTCCTCTTTTTAAAAATCTCAAGAGATAACACAACCCTTTCATCAAGACCAAATTCTAAGAATGGAGAATTCCACCTCTTTTTTTCTTTACCACAACCCTTGACTTTCTACCAGTAGCAACCAAAGAAGGTTGGGGATGGGAAAAGGAAGGTTAGATTCAGTTTCTCCCTTAACCTGACCCCTCCCTAACTTCACCGTGGCACACAGAGAAGCAGAAGACACCAGGAATTCCTAGGAAACGATAGCCTCTCGACTATCGGTGAACATTAACTTCCTCGAAGCCACCATTTCCCTAGGGCATTATCACACACTCCCACCCGAACATATTACCTAGGAGGTAACTTAGAAGCCCAAACACACACAAAGAAAAACAGAGCTTGAAGCGGGCAGCTCCGGCTAGCCAGCGCAGTGAAGCCCGGAGGCCACGCGCAGCGCTGGCCAAGTTGCCACAGCGATCCCACGGACAGTGCCGTAGCCAGGCTAGGGCGCTGGAAAACCAGCGCACAGGGCTCCAGCCCCACGCCCGACGCGAGGGCCCTCGGGTCAGGAAGCCTGGCTCTGCCGGTGCTGCCTCTCCGAAGCGGCTCCAGCCCGCGCTGGAGCGATAAGGTGGATCCGCGCTTCCCACCCGGGCAGCTCCGCCCTCCGGGCCACATTCCTAAGACGCCCGACTCCCGGAACGCCGAGCCGGGCGCCGGGCGGGCAGGAGAGCGGCGCCGCAGCCGTAGGGCAGGAGGG